AACAACGATACAAACAATTCCCCATTGTTTGCATATTTACCTAGTGCTGCTAGGGAACATTTTTTGGGTGGAGGGAAAAAGTGTAAAACAGTTTGGGCTTTTGATATTTCTCCTTGATGCACACAATGTGATCCCAACTGTAGTCTTTATCTGGGAGGACACGAATTCACTAATTCATACATAAGATGCATTTTTCAAGCATGAGTTTCCAACAGAAATAGGGATTTTCTCCTACTTTCATCTTCTTAATGGTAGGAAGGCGGCAGACATCAATACAGAGGCTTTGTTGCAGAATTCACAGACTTTGTGTGAGTAAAAAAGGTGGACTTTCCTACATCTTCTTTCCCCTGAAGTTACTTAAGAAATATCTTTCCCTCATCCCTTGTGAGACAGACAACTCACATTTGGTTAATGTATCTCTAAAAGGCAATAAAAAAGTGTCCTACTTTAAGCTAATTTAGTTCAAAATTGCCACTCAACTTGTACTGGTGTGCTTATTTGCAGTACTTGACTAACTGACACAACTTAATAGGTCTTAGAAAATATATTTTAAACTATCCCCTTGGAGGAGGGAAATTAAAATTAAATTAAAGAAAGCAAAAATACTATGTCAACTCCTGTTTCCACAAGACAACTCATTTAAAAAGTTAAACTGTGTAACACCATCATTGTCAAGAAAACCCCATGTCTTATAGACACAGCCCTGTTAAAATAAAATAAAATTAAATTAATAATCCACTCAGTAAAGGTAAGTGTTTTTATCCAACACCATGAAGTACCCATCTAACTCATCCTACCTCCCTTCCCACACAGTTCCCCAGTCAGTAATCAAGAGGAGAGACAAAAGACCTTGAATTCTCAAGGCTGTAAGGGAAAGGAAAAGTTGTTTCGTTTTCTTATAGGATACAAAAGCCATCTGTATACCTACCGTGGAAACAGCAGGCTATTGAAGTAGAAGTTTTCTTCTGTTGTCCGGATAACACAGTTGTCCTTTTACAATAATTTTATTTAGGAAAAAATAATGATTCAACATTATAGAGATAAATAATAATGTGTACTGTTGGCAACAGACAGAACAAGGAGAGGACACCTAGTGGTAGTCTGTGATACTCAGGGTCGGTAGCATGGAAGTAACATATGAAATTTTTTATGCAGGATCTGATTTGACAAAGCTCTTACACACTTAATTTTTAAGCACTTTAGTAAGACTTAGCACTCCTGTAAGCTTGGACTTGAGCTTTCAGGAATCAGCACCACTCTGATTATCAGAAATAAAATAGCAAAACCAAAATATGATGTCAGTGTGATATGCTCAGAAACTTGTTTCTTTAAGCACCAGTGCTTTATCAACAGCTTGAATGCATATCGACACTTATGTAGGTTTATGAGTCTCAAAAAGGTTTGGTAAATTGAAAACCAGATTTCAGTACAAGTTAAACCAAATTAAGATATGGCTGCTATTTACAATTTTTGCATATTTTACTATATGATTTTTTGAAAAACATAACCTTTATTGCCCATCTCGCAATAAGCATTAATTAATTTTTAAAATTGGTCTAGTTCTACATAATCAAACATCTGAGAACAAGAAAGACTTAGAGCACATTTTTAGAAAAATCAATTCTATTTATTCATACATTTACTAGGTCTTGTCGTATGATTAGAGTATCTGCAAGCAGAACTATTGAAGTCTAAGTTTTAAGCAGTTCTTGGAAAATATTTTAATTTTAAAGAATCAGTAAACTAACAGCATTGACAACTGTAAAAGAAAGTGGCATATCATTTGATATGTAATGATGTATTTATTTGTAATTGTTCATATCTTTTATTTTTAATTGTTCATTGATCTATGAGTATATTTAGGTAAGAATAACTTACTAATTGCATGTAATCCTATCTAAAACATTCAAGGGTCACCAGTTTAGTCAGTTTCATAAAACTTAAAGTAAATAAGAATTAGGTCCTATACCTCATGTTCAGTATTTTTAGGAATCTGAGCTAAAAAAAAATCCAAAACAACCCCCCTGTCACAAATTACTGCAAAAGTACAAATTCTGTAATTATCAAATTAATTTTTTTTTCTTGCATGTTATAGTATATAACTTAGCTTAAGTAAGTATATGATCTATAAGTCAACAACTGAGTTCAAAGGACTGGAATATTAGATATTGTAGCTCAAAAGCAGTTTTAGGAAAGTGTGCATTTGCAAATTCAGTAAATTATTTCCTGCCAAGATAACTCCTGTCCTTTTCTTACAGTTTTGCTTCCTATTTCCACTGAGCCATTCATTTGGATAAGCAATTAACATCAGACTGATATGAATACATCAATCAGATTTCATATATATTGCACCACAGGCTACAGCTGTTCCGTCATAACACTTAATGCACAGAAAGCTTCTGCAGTGCATACATTATTTACCTCAGTATTACTCTACGTGGCTGTTAGTAGCTTGATCTTGATTTAATTGATTTAAATTATGTGGAAAAAAATAAAGGAACCACGTTTCACCAGTGTCATATAAAAACCTTTAAATTTTTAACTACTCATCCTAAAATTCAGGATATTGACCTTGAAGCTGAAGTCTTAGTGATACCTAAAAGGAAAAGCTCAAATGAAGTCAACCTCCTTTTTCTCTTGGAGGATGTAGAAATACCTCAAAGGGATAGTTGCCTTATCATACAACTTGATTTGTTCATCAGTTTTCTATGAAGTATCCTCTTGGCATGTTACAAAGAATGAGTTTGCTGACTGTCCTCTCAATATTTTTGAAATAATGTTCACTATTCTGGATCCAAATACATATATTTCTGATTGATCTGTACCACATTCAAAACCAATGTCAGCCCCTAAGCAAAAAGTATTAAATCCTTTTAACCACACCCAAACAGGCTCCAGTTCTGTGTCATAAAAATTAGTTAACAGTTGCTCTTTTTTGTCCATGTCCAGACACACACATATGGAGAACATGAACATCAGCAGCAAAGTCTCACTGACTACCCCTATGGGATCATCCAGCCATTATTTCCCAGTTCTGCAAAGGTCACCCTTACCCAGTTTGTTTGTTTGTTTGAAAATATTATTATGACACACATTTTCTCCAAAGCCATATATGACAATCCATGATCTCCTTCATTTCTGATCTCTGTAAAATGCTAAACAAAAATAAAAACAGGAAAAAAGCGCCCTTTTTGTTTGCACAGATTTCATTTATCGGTGCCTGATTCAGACTATGTATTTATATCTGTTCCTGCATGTGAGAATCTTTTGAAAAGCACCCAACAAGCTTCTCGTTGCTCTACTGCAAGCTCAAAAAAACCCCAACCAAACAAAACAACCTTCCTGAGGACATATTTCACAAATTTTATTAGTGGAATCAAAGGTGAAGTTGCAATCAAGCAGCCATTAGCTGAAGATTCAACGGACCAAACACCAACTATTGCTGGGTTGGACTACATCCACTGGTCACTTCTAGTCCCACTTACTGGCCAATTTTTATTTTTTATTGATTTTATTTATTTATTTAATTAAATAAATTAATATTTATTTATTTAACTATTTTTATTTAGAATACCTGATTTCTCTTTGACAATATGCAGAAAGGAGGAAAAAAAGGAATTCATTTCTCTGCCTAGTAGGCATTTATAGTGGCAAGCTCATAATTTGAGCTGCCAGAAAATAATGTCATTGAACGCATTTCAGAAGGTTGTCTCTTTGTAAAGCACAGAGGAGACAAAAGCACAGCTTTATGGTAGAACTGCAAAATATGCTTAATCATTCGCCTTAGTTAAACCGAGCACAAAACTATAGTGCTCTATTTCTGTGCAAAAAAAACTATTACACTGCTTTACAGAGAGACAAAAAGAAGTAGAATTTACAAAACAGAAAATAATGACCTGTTTCAGGGGTTATTTTGAGAAACAACTATAAATTTATTTATATAGACTTTTGGTACTTAGGATGATCTAGTGTCATGTCCCTTTAAAACAATCTGACTTTATTTGTGAAATGGAGCTGCATTTAGGTGTCTGTTAAGCCAGAAAGTGCATACAATACTGGAGGATAGCAGCAGAAAAAGCACCAGAAATGGTATCAAATCTTCCCTCAGTATTAATTTAATTACATAAATCTTCATCAAATCAATTTATGTAAATCAATTTTAATAGCACTTAAATGATAATGCTCTACAAAATAATTCTCATTATGCTTACTTCAAGAAAGGTTTAGAAAACAGCAGTATTTTTTCCTATGGTTTTAACACTTCTGTTTAAAACATTATGATATTTAGAATTACAGAAATGAGGACAGGCAAGTAACAAAATGACTGAATCATGGTGGTATGTGCCAAAGCATTAGACACTTCCTAGCTATGAGTATACCAAATTAGGGAATGCCATAATTTCCTGGAAAATGCAGCACGCCAAATTGGCAGGCAGCATAACATCATGTCTGGAAACAGTGGAGTTGGCAGTTCAGAAGGCAATGACTCAAAATTTGGACTACCCATTTTTCATAAAGAAGGCCAGTAGTTGATATATTCAGACTATATACAGCCTTCAAACAAGGAGAATTCTAGGAAATCTACTTAATAGCATATTATTTAAATTTCTCCTATAACAGAAAAATATGAACATGTACTTTAAGTTCTCTTGACTACAAGAGTATTAACTTAGTAAGTTTAAGTGCTAGTCACCAAAATCCAATGCAGATTTAGGTGTTTGTTGAAATTCTTAGTATTCTCACTAGGAGTTCATCCATCCTAATTGTGTTGATGGTCCCAAACATATTTTGGTCTCTGTCATTAGCAGGGAGATGATGGTTACTCTGTGTTGTTTTTTTTCCAAAAAGGCCTTTCCACTTGCACCTGTTTGTAATTACACCAACTGGGGCGTAAAACCTCTATTACATTCTTGTTCTTGCGTATCTCTTCAGAGAGATCTGACCAGTATTCTGTAGAAATAAGATCTTAGTGAATGATGTTATAACAATATAAATCTTACCTCTTCCCACTGGTGTATGTATCTAATCAGTCTTGAAAGGCGCAATAAACGTAACAGGCTGAGGATTTTTGTAAATCTCACAATACGAAGTGCTCTTGCTGTCTTGTAAACCTCTGAATCCATTCCTTTTTCTACAATGAGAAAGATATAATCCACTGGTATTGATGAGATGAAGTCAACCACAAACCAGCTTTTTAAGTAATTCATCTTAATGATTTTAGGGTCCAATATGATTTCAGAGCTGTCTTCATTTACAGTCCCAGTTCTAAAATTCATGATCAAGTCCAATAGAAAAACAGTGTCTGATGCGACATTGAAAATAATCCATGGTGTTGTTGTTTGTTCCGTGAAGAATGTGATTCCAACAGGTATAATGACAAGGTTTCCAACCATCATTATGAGCATGATTAAGTCCCAGTAAAACCTAAAAAAAAGGGAAGAAACAGAATAGTTGATGTAACATGGTAAAACACACCTATAAAAATGGTCTCTATCATGCCATCAACTTCACCTCCATATTTTGTTAATGCTAAGACAGTTCTCATTGTTTTAACCTGTTCAATATATCAGTAGACAGTCATTAAAGGCAAAGTAATACATTTCATTAGGTGCCTTTCTTCTCAAGAATATGTATCTAAAATAAGAGAGCACTATGGCTTATGATTCCATGGCATATTACCCACTGAGAGGTGTGCATGTGTGACACTCAGCAGACTTATGCATACTCATGTCAAAACCTCCTGTGATGTTATATTATATAGACAAAACTGGTGTCTTCGGCCAATCAGAAGTGCTTTAGCAATGGAACAGTTTTTTTAAGACTTCCGTCCAAATACAAAGCCAAATATCTAATAGATAATATATTAAATGTTGGTATCTCTTTGCAAATGTACTCATACCATTACAGTGCTGGAATAAAATTACAGGAAGAGAAAAAAATAGAAACAGTAATTAGATAACATCAAAACCTTCATCCACTTTTTCAGCCTTAATTGAACTTCCATGTATCTCATAGTCTACCTTCTCTCAGAGTTAGCTTAGAAGTTTTAGCAAGAACAATTGCAATTTGCATAGCATAGAATGGGTACTTCATTTTACTTGAGAAGTGTCTAAAGCCTCCCCTTTAACACTGTTAGAATGCTGCTAATCACACTCGACAGGTAGAGAGCCAGACTCATAACTTTAGTATTTATTATAGGAACAGTGAGTAAATCCACCTCTTCCACAGATAATATATCTTGATGGAGGATTTCCAGGGGATGGTAGTATATACCTGATTGTAAGCAAATTATGATAAATCCCAAATGTTGAATTGTCAAAGAAAGTTTTTCAACAAAATAACTGAAACTGGACTTGAAAAAGCCTAAACCCAATGCGTAAACTCTTGTGCTGCCTGAGAACATGATCTGGTCAATTAAAATTGATCTGAAGAGGTACAGAAACCAACCAACAACAGTTGCCTAAGGACTCATTAGTCCTTCTAGAGGAATGGAGGCAGCAATGGCTCCACGACTATCTCTCTGCTCTGTCCCTCCATTGCAACAGCACCTGGTGCAATGGACATGTGATGGACACACTACCAGCACATCACTTCAACACTGACTTCCAGGCCACTTCCATCATACTAACACCAGCCTCCTGACATGCACCAAGGTTCGTCTTGGTAAAGGTTCATGGCAATCAACAATAATGATAGTTTAGTTGGCCACCAAACATTTCAGAATCACGAGCTTAGTTTTTCACAGACTTGCACAGACTATATGGATTACATTAGATTTTAGAGATTGTTTCTTGCATTCGCCAAATGATCATAGAACCATAGAATGGTTGGATTGGAAGGGACCTTAAAGAACACCACATTCCTCTCCCCCAGCCATGTACAGGGAAACCTTCCACTAGACCAGGTTGCTCAGAACTCTATCTGGCCTGCCTTGAACACTTCTAGGGATGGGGCAGCCTCTTTGTTCCAGTGCCTCACCACCCTCACAGCAAAGAACTTCCTCCTAATACCTCATCTAAACCTACTGTCTTCTAGTTTGATTCCATTCCTCTTCCTCCTATCCCTATTCGTTTGCTTAAAAAGTCTCTCTCAGTCTTTCTTATATGCTCTATTCAAGTACTAGAAGGCCACGATTAGGTCATGTTGAAGCCTTCCCTTCTCCAGGTCAAATAATCCCAAAGATCCAGGTTTATAAATTTCCTTTTTTCCATGTTTAACTGTGCAAATGCTTCTGAGTTTACAAATTGTTGATCTGAGAATAGCAATAATTAAATGTAGCTGTAAAACATGCTAAAGGAAAAGTAACACAGGATTGAGAATGGCATGAGATTTCCCAGTTTTAAAACTGTTCATTCCAAGAGAAACCCAGAGAGATTACGCTTAACGAGCATTTGAGAGAAGAGAGTACTTGGCTAAGTACCTCTAACTGGTACTCAGAAACTGCATGAAATAGACTTTAAAAATAATTCCCTGTGTATCACAATGTGATTTGTGTCTTATACATTCTCAGTCTTGCAATAAATATGAATACTAAGTGCTAAAAATGTTCAGGTTTATTGAGGTTGTATGTGTTTTTGTTTAGCATATGATGGTATTCACCATCTCTGGTAAAAATTTCCAAATTTCTTTTATCCTTTTTTATTTCATGTAATAACCTTCCCACTGTGCTATATTCCTTTTCAATAATCTGGAATTACCACACACAAGGAACCACTAAATTCTTATATCACTGCTATTATGATTGACAAGTAGAGTTACCACAAATACTTTTACAATGCTATCAAACAAACTATTTCACAGAAGTGTTCTTGGAGCATAAACATATTCAAGGGATCTTGAAAATGGGTGGAAAACAAATAGGGAATAATCACAAGAGGTGTCCTTGTATCTGTGGCTGAATCCTAGGCAAAGCATTGCTAATTTCAGACTGACCTCTACCTTTCATCATCACTGGAAGCAGTTACACAACAAAGGCCAACCAAAGCTGCACAACCACCAGCCACCCAGCCAGCGAAAGAGATAATGCAGAACCAGGTGTTTTTAACCTACAGTAATCCACGGTTTAAAGGATCATCTTGTACTGTGATTATGCAAAACACACAGGAGTTCCTGATGTTGAATGTCGGTAGAAGTGGTAGCATTAGGGCTAAAATAATACTGAATGGTAAGGACTATGAGATTGTACCCCTTCCATATTTTGATTTTAGACCACAATATGGTATAAGCTGATTAGTTAGTAGGAAAAATCCATATTATTTTTCATTTAAAAATGTATCAGACATTTTCTTTTAGGAAAATGTTTCCAAATGGCATTATGTTGGCCATGTTGTATTTCTTTTTCAGGTGAGAAAGCTAGATGTAAATCCCTGTATTGCCCTTCTTTGACCTGTGCAGAGAAAGTAATACAATGCGTTCCTTGCCTGCAGTTCAGAACATTCTATTATTCACATAACAGAAAGCAAGCTGTTAAGCTTCTCAGGATGGTACAAGGAGCTGCTATTGAGACACAGAGATAGCCCTTTGTTTCAAACTACTTTTAGATTTTTTTTTTTTTGCTACCTCCCCCTAAGAAGAAGGGTTATGGTCTCAAAGTTCCAGATTTATATAAGGTATTGGAAAATGTTGATGAAGAGCAAGGAAGAGGTAGCTCCTATTACAAAAAAATTTTCAAGATTGAGGATTAAAAAAATGAGAGTCTGTGGGTAACAAGATCTTTCAAAGCTCAAAATAAGAAGGAAATACTGACCATGGCTCAGCTGAAGCTACCTCAGTGGACCTACAACTAGATGACATAAAAGGAAGGTGCAGAGGTCAGCGTTGCACTCCACCAAACTATTCCTGAAATTTTTTAAATGCTCCAAAATGGCTCAGAGGTATAATACCTCCAGATGAAAAAAAGTGTTCAAGTATTAAAGTATAAAAACCAATTTTAAAGCATATTTTTTCAAATTTTTAGAAAATTATTTTATACAGAAATATTAAAAAATCACACTAGTTATTACTTTATTAGTCTCAAATGACACTAGTTGGATTCATAGCCATCTTTCACTGATCTTTTCACTCATCATTTATTTACTATTATTTTTTAAATATACAGTAATAACAGTGTTTATTCAGCTCTCTAACACGGTGTTGAAGCATTGGTTCTTTATTCACTGACACAGGCTGTCATGGATAGGATGAACAATCTATTCAAAATGAATGCCTATCCAAGTAACAACAAAGAATTATTTAGTAATAATTAATCACTGTTTGAATTAAGCTTACTAATGTAAGGCACTATGAATTCTAACAGGCATTTTATTTTCCACTTTATATGTCCAACCCAGAGAAAACTGAAACTTAAGGAAGGAAATTTCATCTCAAAGTAAATTCAGTGCATAATTTCCCATACAAACAAATTCAGATTTGCTTGCTTCATTATTTCCCATTGCTGCCCACCAACAGCAAAGACTCAATTTCTGTGAATCAGTTTGAGATATGTTGTTTGAGATATGATTATCTTTATGGTACACACAGACTGAATCAGCAGAAGTTGTCAGGAGTCTCACAAACCGCACAGCAGAGTGAACGGTAACTCTAAGGCATGGAGTGCCATGACTTCAGGCTACAGGATACTCAGGACTTTGCTTTAGTTTAAGTTTTCTGAGTTTCAAGAAAGATTGTAAAAGTCTAATTTTTTATTAAAACGGACCAAATCATATTACTAAAACTTCATTAAATTCAGTCAAAATACTCAACAGCTACATTGTAAACTGGAAAGTCTTTCAAAAAGATATTAATTCAGATTGCTTGTAAAATATCTTTGAAGCCAACCCTGATGCATCAGAGATTAGGTTGTCTGATCTCACATTCACTCTGCACATTCAGAGAACGAAGAACTGTAAAACAAATTTTACAAGCTTTCCATAGAAAACTTGCTTCCTCTTTAGCTAAATATTTTGATTGACTAGCAGATGCTCAGTAAAATGAGCACTGACTTTTTTTTTTTTTTTGTCTCACCCTCAAACACAGCTTTATTTCTTTTGATTTCATGGATCATTGGTTCACCTAACAGAGAAATCAGTGTCCTATATAGAACAAAATAATCTCAGTAGATATAATTTTATTTAAAATTTTATTATACTGTGCTGTAACAAACACCAAACTCGGTATTATTATGTCAGAATTTGATTCTCACAGGGTATACCATCTTTCTTGGGTAGTGCAACTATATTCTTCTTCTAGTAAGAAAAAGGAAAGAGAAACGTGTCTGGAAACATCTGCAACATGTAGATTATTACTAGGATGTGTTGGAAAGGTCAGGAAAATGAATAAGGGATTGTTTTTTTCAGATTACACAATTCTTTTAATGATTGCACAGGTATCCATGCTTGAAAACTTTCTGAAAAATCATCTTTTTTTTTTACAACTTTAAAATGACG